TTGGTAGCCCAGGCTGGCCTCGAACTCACAGAGATCCGCCTGGCTCTGCCTCCCAAGTGCTGGGATTAAAGGCGTGCGCCACCACCGCCCGGCTACCATTAAGTTTTATTAGCAATAAAGAAGACTTTTTTTTTTTCCATTTGGAGTAAAATGGATGAAACTAGATATCATCATATTAAGCAAAATAAGCTATAGTCAGAAAAATTAGTCTCACATGTTTTCTCTTGTGTGTCGAGTATATAGAACTTAGAAAGAGGAACAGGACATAAAAGGAGGACTTGTAGGGAATAAAAGAGAATTAGGAAAAAGGAGAAAAGACAGGGTAAAAGAGATGGTGAATCTGATCCAAGTATGTTATATGCATGTATGAAATCATCATAATAAAACCATTTACTTGTTATAATTAACATGTACATTAAAAGAACCAAATCAATACAATAAAAAGAAACTTAAGATAAATGAAGATGGAAATGAGCTCAGTGCCCTGACCAGTCTCATTGGCAATCAATGTCGCTCACCTTTGAGCATCTTCATGGCCCCGATAAATGTTTCCATATCCACTTCTTCATTATCTATAAAGTAAAGTCATATATATAGCACTAATACTCAAAAAATAATTTGTTTGGCCATTTGCATAATTTTCTCTAGAATTTCTCCCTCCCTTCTAGTTCCATTTCTCTATTTCTATAACAGAAAACCTAACAGCACCTGCCTCAGAGCACTGAAAAGCATCGAAGTGCTTAAGTCCATGCCTGGCACATGGTACATCCTCAATAAATGGCAAACATTTTTATATTGTAATATAAAATTGTATATATTGTAATACTTTTGAAAATAAGGGAATCGGAGTCTATACCTATTGTTTCAATGTAAAGAAGAAAAGTAACACTATACATCTTTTCCCTAAAGTTTGGATATAATGATGGTGATGATGATGATGATGATGATAATGATAACATCACATTGAAATGTGAAATCTAATATGCTGAATTTTTAATATAGTCTTTAGATGTAATACATGACTTTGGGACTTATAGAGCCTTCACAAAAAAAAAAAAAAAGCTTATGCCTGAATATATGGAGACAGAAAAATCAGTAGTAGTCTATGTTTCTATTTTCACATTTGGAGGTCTATTAAAATAAGTTATTGGGATATGAATTTCATTTGCAAAGTTACAAGTCATGTCAATATAGACTAATATTACTCTCCAGCCTCTATACATTCCTGCTAATTATCTTTGTAGAAAGAAAATCTGAATTATACAATGTGTTTGTCAGTTTTATGTCAATTTAACACAAGCTAGTCATTTGGGAAGAGGGACTCTCAACTGAGAGAACTCTGTAAGACTGGCCTATAGGCAAGTCTGTTGAGTACTTTCTTGATTAATGATGGATGTAGGGGAGCCTAGCTGATCCCACCGTAGGTGTTGTCAACCTTGGGCAGTCTGTCGTGAGTTGTATAAGAAAGCAGGCCAACCAAGCCATGAAGAGCAAGCCAGTGAGCAGCACCCCTCCATAGTTTCTGCTTTAGTTGCTACCTCCAGGTTTCTGACTGGAGTCCCTGCCCTTTCTTCCCTCAGTCATGGAACGTAACCTAAGAGTTGTGAGCAGAAATGAACATTTCCTCGCTATGTGGCTTTTGCCTTGGTGTTTTATCATAGCAATAGAAATTCTAACTAAGACAGAAATTGTTACCTGAGAGTGGACTACTGTGGCAGGACTGACAATGCTGATATGGGGAGAATTGTGGGAGGACTTTGGAACTTTAAGTTAAAAAAGCCACCGTGTGTTCAATAAAAATCATACCTAGGAAAAAACTTAAGCAAAGATATTGAAGACCTTTATATTGAGTCCATAAGGCACTGAATAGAGAAACTATGGGAGATACTAAAAGATGGGAAGACCTCCCATACTGATAGGGTAACAGAAATAATATTGTAAAAATTACCATATAAACAATAGCAATCTACAGTTTTATTACTATTTGTTACTATTATAAAAAAGAAACCCAGTGACATTCTTCACAGAAATGGACAAAATAGCCTTAAAATTTGTATGGAAACACAAGAGACTCTAGATAGCTGAAAACAACCCTGAGCAAAAAGAACAATCCTGAAGGTATCTTAATTTCTAACTTTAAACTATACCATAAAACTATATTTTAAAAAATAGCATGGTACTGGCAAAAATCCAGATGCATGACCAATAGAATAAAAATAGGCTGAAGAAGCTATATCCATTTGATTCTTGACAATGGTGCCCAAAAACATACATTGAAAAAACTATCCCCTCCTTATCAAGTGGCAACTGGTGCATGAGAAACTGGATATCCACATATAGAATACACCATCTCTCCATCTCTCACCCTGTACAAAAATTAGTTCAAAATGGATCAAAGACCTTAAGGTAAAGCTGACAACCACTGGAGGGATGTTGAAGAGAGGGACAGATAGCCTTTTAAAAGGTGTGCTTTAGGGAGTAATTCTCACCTGGTGGTAGAATTAAGCAGTTACTCACATCTAAGTTTACGGCATCTCAATCTATCAAGACTTCTGTAATTCTGTAATGATTGTTTTTGAAAAGAGCTATCTTAGGTGACTTAATTGGTATGAGAAACTCCCCAGGGGAACCTCAGAACAAATAAACTCAATAATGTTAACTACTATGAGTGGTTTAAAGCCTCACCAGGAGCTGGCAAGTGTTCAAACAGAACCTGCTCCTCCTCTTCATTGAGTGTTAGGTTCATGTCTTTCAAAACTTTATCTACAGTACTGGCATCAATCTTTTCTCCTAAGGAAACATGACATGATAGAATTAAGGAAGATATGAAATCACATAAAAGTAGGATGTCTATGTGAGTCCTATATACTGTTTGAGATATAAGAAAACTGTGGCTGGGTCTCTGTTACACTTTATAACATGAATCATCACAAAGTAAAATAAATGTCTAGAGATGTATTTCAGCAGCAGAGTAGTTGCTTAGCATGAACAAGGTCCTGAGTTCAACCCCTAGAACTGTAAAGACAGTAAAAGGAAAAATTTTAATTCAGTATAATACCTTGTCTAATTCACTGTGACAATACAGAACAACTAAGTCTAGAAGCATCTTTCCTTAAAGTCTTAAAGTTATAGTCTTTACTTAGTAAATGAACAATTACTAAAGTTAGTTTTCATTAACATCTCTCATTTTTGTTGGTTCTATTTTGCCAAGATCTAAACTATCACAAATGGCATGTTGCTTCTAAAACATAGCATCACTGTTTTCTTCGACATAGAATAGCCAACAGAAATGAAAGGTCTAATAAATAAGCATCTAGTGACAAATTTACATGTAAAACCAACTATTCAACTAGTATTTAAGAAATAAAATGGGTATTTTAAATAAATGTGTTGTTTCTATGTTTTGCCAAAAGTGTGTGTGTGTGTGTATATATATAGTTTAAAATATATTAAAAGTGTATATATATAGTTTAAAATATATTAAAAGTGTATATATATATATATATATTGTTTAAAATATATTAAATGAATATTGTCACAGATAGTATTATTAGTCTAAAATTTCAATTTTGGAGTTGGAAAGATGGCTCGGTGGTTAAAAGCACTTGTTGCTCTTGCAGAGGACCTAAGTTTGATTCCCAGCACCCACATAGTGGTTGATAACCATCCACAACCTTAGTTTCCAGGGGATTTGACATCTTCTTTAGACTTTCAAGGGTACCAAGCACATATGAGGTATTCTTACATACATGCAGGAAAAAAATCATACATAAAATGAATAAATCCAATAAAATCTTTCAATTAAATTTTACTCATTCTTACCCATAGCATAATATCCAACACTGGCTAGATATTAGGCAGTTATTTAATTAGTTAGCTAGTTAACTAATTAACTCTTCATTTACCTGTAGATTCCTTCCCATATCTTATCCCACCATTTCCGTCTCTTTATTAGCAAGTATAAAATAAGAAACTAGATTGAAAATGTAAGTAATAGTTCTACCAACCTTAATAAAATCATGAATGTTAAACATGGCGATACTGAAATGTATAAAGTAGCCCAAAATATGACTTCATTCAATTCCAAATAAACATAAGCATGGGGAGCCTCCCAAAATCATTACCAAAGTTTTGCTTTTGTTTTTGTTTTCCTGGGCTAGAGCAATGGCTCAGCAATTAAAAGCATGTGCTGTTCTTACAAGGGGCTTGAGTTCAGTTCCCAGCATCTACATGATGAAGCTCACAACCACCAAACTCCAGCTCCAGGGAGATCCAACACCTCTGTGAGCATATAATTTTTTTAAAAAAAATGTTTCTTAGAGATAATGAATCACACATTCTTCAAATGTGTAAACATACATCAAAAATCAATACACAAGTTTCTCAGTATCTTTCATAACTCATCAAGAAGACATTAGGAGAAATATATAGAGAAAACATTACTTAGCAAGTGTAAGAAAACAGGAGCATTACATATTTTTCTTTATTATCTCACAAAATACTGTCAAGTAGTCCATTTTAGTAAGCTACTACTCTGAATAGCTTACACTAAAAAAATTTGGCCTGTGACTTCTAGTCCATTAGGAACTCTAAAAGGTACCAGTATATACAAGCTTTTTTGAGAAGCCACCGAAGGGAGAGTGTAGAGAAGATGTGTTGTTGTCTGAGAAAAGTCTCAGACCGTCCTGCAGCCCCAGAATCATGTACAAGAAAACAAAACTCTTTTTCTGATAAGGTGAAGGAAACAGATGTTGGTGAAGGAAGGAGGAAAAAGCTTCCAAGCAGCTGGCAAGTCAAGCCAAGTGGCAAAGTTGCCCATTTACCCAGTGATCTGCTGGGGGCTGATAGGGGTAAACATTATTTCCCTATCCCCCAATTCCCACAGAAAAAATTCAGGGAGGAGGAAAGAAAAAGAGAGCATTTCTATTTTGATTTCTCACTTCCCAAGCTCCAACTGAAGACTGCCTTCAGTCTAATTGTTGTCCAATCCATTTCTCACTCAGGCACCAGAATGAGTGAGTGTTCTAATGTACAAACTTTATTAACTCAATCCCCTTTAAAACTGATTCCTTGTATTTTTAATTCTAACACAGAAGATTGCTCACAATTAAAAACTGCATGCAATATCAATAATGTTAACATGGAGGGAGTAAAATTTCACAGGGTCCCACCCCTACACAAAGAACTACAGGGAACTGCTGACTGTTGGAAGAATTAGCCTCTTCCAGGAATGAGTGCCCTAATTGATTGTCCAATGCAGAGTGGTCAGCCTTGAAACCATACACACTCAAACAACAAAAAAGGACTCAGCATGTTGGATTTATATATATTTGTGTGTGTGTGTGTGTGTGTGTGTGTACACTAAATAGTTGAAGTATAGTACTAAGAAATTCCCTCAAAGAAGGCATTTCTACAAAAAAAGTTTTCACCATAATGATTTTTGGTTTGTCAAATTTGTGTCAATCCAAAGTCATAAGCAATAACCAAATATGTAAACGTTAAGCCCCTGAGAAGCAGTGTGAAAGGGACATGATTGCAGCCTAAAGTAAAAATTATTCATCCCACTATTACTGTAGGCATGAGAAACAGGAGCTCATCGGAAAACTCAGAAGGCTGAAACAACTCAAATATTGTGAACACTGAAAAAATTAAATAAAATCCTTATCACACTGTATGGTACTGTCAAAAATTTTACCAGACTGAGTTTACTCACTCAGAAAAAAAAAATACAGAACAAAAGAGGCACATACAAAAAACTAACCAAAGAAATAAGTTAAAATATCAAAAGAAAAATCCAAAGAAAATTCTTTTAATAACAATAAAACTTTTCTCTTGTTTCTTAGTGAAGAACTATAATTTAACATTAAGAATTCATATTTATCATATGCTAATATGTCTCATAAGTATACTTTGGTTACAACCAAGCAATTTAATTCTAGGTCTGGCTCATTCTTTTTTTTTTTTTCAAGACAGGGTTTCTCTGTGTAGCTTTGCGCCTTTCCTGGAACTCACTTGGTATTCCAGGCTGGCCTCAAACTCACAGAGATCCACCTAGCTCTGCCTCCCAAGTGCTGGGATTAAAGGCGTGCGCCACCACTGCCCCGCCTGGTTCATTCATTTTAACTAATGTTACTTTTACCTTCATGAGGCCCTTAGTGGAAAACTGCAGTCATCAAGATTCTGGTGTCCAGACTAGAAAGAAGAGCTAACTAACAGCCTCCTGTTATGCTGCTCTTTTTTAGTTGTGCTACAGATTAAACATGTATGGCACAAAGGCATTAAAAATTGAGCCTTTCATGGTGTTAACTGGGCTTATAATCATCTGAAAAGGCCCTCTGAGATTTTTGCCAGAGACCTACAACATGTTATTAACTGTCTCCACTCAATGGGGAAAAAACAAACCCAACTTACTTTCGGGAGCAGATGAAAGCTGTGACTTGATCAAATGGTTCAGAAACTCGACCAAATCCAATGTCCCATTCTCTAAAAGGAAAAATGTCAGAGAACATGAGGAAAGTCAATGATAAGAGAAAGCAAACAGGCAACTGTAGTAACTGCTCCCCTGGAAAATACTCTCTAGGCTTGGCTTTGAAATCTGGAGATATAATCAGTCAGAAAGACAGACTCATGGTATCATTCAGACATATACTAACCCTGCATATCCTGCTTTGCAAGGCATTGCTGAAAATAATTAGACCATGGATAATAGCAACTGGAATCTCATTAAGTGGTAGGTAGAAGAAGCCTAGGCTAATCCATGATGCAAACACACCTCTGCAGATCTGGAAAGTTCAAGAAGACTCATTTCACTGAGTAAAGGTACTTAGAACATTAAGTACTTACCCCTGGGTGTCACGTTCTTCAGGGCTGCCTCAATCACATCTTGGGGTAAAACAACCCCCGCATTTTTCAAAATGGAAAGTAGATCATCAGAATTCACCTCATTTCTCCTAATGGAGGCCAGAGTTTTCAAGGGACCTTGCATTTCTAGGTGCAAAAAAAATAAACAATGTATAAATTTCAAAAACACTGAAATATCCTGAATAATAACCATCATGTCTATTATTTATTGCAGCCTGACCTTGCTAAACTATGAGAAGTGTTTTGCATGTAACATCTCCTAATTTAAACCACCCCTCAAGTGGGGAAGTCACTCTCAAATTTCCCTTGACTTATGAAGTAAGAAAGGAAAACAGCTTTGGAAAGACTGTTCTGTCCCTAAATTCAGTTATTAATTGTGAAGTCAAGTTTAAAGGTCAAAGTATTTAATTTATAGTTATCTATGATAACTAAGTCACTGTAGATATTTAAATCTGAGAGTTAATAATATATACACACACATACCATATATACTTATACACATATATATACTTATATATGTGTATAAGTATATATGGTATGTTGGTATGTAAGTCATGAAAGAAGGAAGGAGACCATGAGAGGGGCAAAAGAAATCTTATGGAATGGGAAGAAGAAAGGAGTAATAGAATACATGTATCATAAACACAGAAAGGGAGATGTTGGAGGAAGGGAGGAGTCAGCAAAGAGGGGATACAAGAAATTAGAGAGGAGAATAGATGAGGAGCAATAAGAACTAAGTGGCTATGAAAATTCCATTAATGAAGCTTATTGCTTTGTATGCTAATTCCCTTGAACATCTAATAAAAATTTTAAATTAAGTTTGAAAAAATAATATTACGTAAAGAGCAATCTCAGAATATTGACTTACACTCTTCAAGATTTCCTAAAGTAACTCACTTGCCAGAAACTGGAAAACTGCTGGCCAGTGAGCTGGCACAGTGGGTAAAGGCACTTGCTGCCAAGTCCGACAACCTGAATTCTCTCTCCCAGACCCTCATGGTGGAAGGGGAGAACTGACTCCTGTACATTGTCCTCGACCTTCAAACATACATTCTGCCCATACAGACATGCATGTAAATCAGTAAATGAAATGTAATTTAAAACCGAAAACCTAGTCATAGTTTGACTACCCTCAAGTATTTATTTTCCTTAAAGTGAATTGCTCACATGCATCAATACACAAAAATACCACATAAGATGGCATTAATATGTCGATAAAATGTAATATTGACTTTTGAAATTATATGTATAAATTATTTCCAAATACAAAAACTCTTAAGCTCTGTAACCATCATTTCATAAACACTAACTCCGTAAGAAGTTTATGAACAATACATCTATAAAATCTATCTCATCAGCCCCATTCTGAAGGATCAAGGGTAAAATACATAGACTTTTGAATACATCCCAAATCTTGGATCTGAAGATGAATTTACTTTTGTAGCTATCCAAAGTGAACCTTGAATGAAGTTCTGCTTCAAGTTCAGAAAGACAAAGACTAAACTTTAAACTACCTCAACACTTCTCAAGATATGGACTACTCCAAACAGACCCAGAGAGTCCAGAACAGTTGTAGATTTATAACCTAGTATCAATTAAACTTTGACAATTCAAAAGTTACAAACACATCTCTTTAAAATGGAGACAGTAATTAACTAAGTATATCAAAGCCAGATTATATCCAATGTTCCACTGGGGGTAGTGGATTAATGGGAAAACTCTCATGAGAGAATTCTCTTAAGTTTTAGTACTTTTCCTTATTCCTATATGTTTCAGCAGCGAAACTCATAATAAAATCTCCTTTGAATAAAGAGCTAATAGGATGAAAAGGAGGAGGGAACAATAGGTTCACTCCCCCAGGATTTCAGTAAAATAGCCAACTGGTCATCCATCTTGTATTACAAACTTGGACAGAAAGATGAATCATCCAGATAGATTTGGGGTATTTACTGTTTATTTAGTGACACAGAAAACATAAATCAAGAAAAGCTCATGACTGGATCCCTGTTGACTCTATAGCCAAAGCATATTTGCTGTATAAATGTGTGTTGCTTAATAAAACTAGAAACTTCACAAATGCAAGTAATGGAAATGAATCTACTCCCTCCCAAGCTGTCTTTTAAGAATTCCCACTTACTTGAACTTTTAGTAAAATATGGTGTTTCTTTCAACTTTGTCAGCCAATCTTTTAAATCCGCATTCCCCTCCTCTGAAAATGAAAGAATGGGCGGCTTTTGGTTAAAAGTTATGTATGTTAGCCGGGCAGTGGTGGCGCACGCCTTTAATCCCAGCACTCGGGAGGCAGAGGCAGGCGGATCTCTGTGAGTTCGAGGCCAGCCTGGGCTACCAAGTGAGTTCCAGGAAAGGCGCAAAGCTACACAAGAGAAACCCTGTCTCGAAAAACAAAAAAAAAAAAAAAAAAAAAAAAAAAAAAGTTATGTATGTTTACTTAACTTCCAAAACTAAAGCTATTCTTGTGGCTTTCTAACTCTGGGTCTGGGATACACAAACTCAGAATGACTGAAAAGCAATCTGGTTAGAGTAGCTCTTAAAGTCTTTCTTTGGGAGAGCCAATGAGCATGATACATGAGTTTTACCTTAAACCAACTACAGTGGTTGCTTTGGAGTGCTTCTCCCAGATTTTATAGTCTCTGGTTTTTGGCATTACAAGTCCCACATAATGATTACACTTTCATGGTGATAATTCACTCACCAGAAAGTAAGTACTGGACATGAAACTCAACCATGGTATCTAAAGAAGACTCTACCTAAAATGCGTATACATATCAGACAAGAATGTGTACAGTCCTTTGTTTTAATCAGTCATTTATTTGGAACCTAAGGAGAAACCAGCACCACCAGGCCTCCATGTAAGGTAAGCAAATGATGGCAGGAATTGAAAATCACCAACCTAACTCTTTGAGGATTCTGGGGAAATCAAATTGGATTTATTTCATGGAATTGATATAGCTTCACAGTCTCTGACCAGTAGTAACCTGTTATTTAAGTCTCAAAAAGTAAAGAGATGGGAGGAGAAGGGAAGATTATATTTCCCTAGAATGCTCAGTATAAGGAAAAAGAAAAAAAGTTCCATCCAGTCTGCAAGGGAAAATCAACTGTTGCTGAACTTATTACAATTAATTCTGAATCACCCAGCTCCATGGATTTATGAGTGAAACTAAATACAGCTTTATGTGGACTTTCAATAAATGACTCTGGCCAGGCAGTGGTAGTTCATGCCTTTAATTCCAGGACTTGAATGGCAGGTGGATCTGTGAGTTCAAGGGCAGCCTGGTCTACAGAGTAAGTTCCAAGACAGCCAAGGTACACAGAGAAACCCTGTCTTGAAAAACAATAGATAGATAGATAGATAGATAGATAGATAGATAGATAGATAGATAGATAGATAGACAGATCAATCGATCGATAGATAGATAGATGATAGATTACTCTGAAAATGAAATACATACTATCAACAGAAATGTCTGATTCCACCTTCTGTAATTCTTCATCTGGAACATGAAGTCCCAGGCCTTTGGAAATAAGTTTCATATCATCGATACTAATTTTTCCACTGGCGACTTTGTTCAGAGCCTTTGCAAGTTCATTAGCCTCTATCAAAAGGAAATATTTTCAATTTAGATACAATTAAATTCTAAATAACAAACTTTAAACTCTAATTCAAAAGTTAGTATGGACAGTTGCATTCTTTCATTTAGTGGCACGATAGCCCAGTTCGATTTGCATTAAGTAGTTACTTGCTCTAAATATGTATTTAATCTTCACTTAATATACATCAAATAGAACCAAATGTAAGACAAATTCATAGAAGAAATTAAACTTCAGCTAATAATTGAAAACTAATGTTAATGGAAAGGGGAATTTACTCTCATGTACCTGTCTCCATTCTATTTAAAAACAAACACTTTAATAGGGGCTATTATAATAATAATTGGTATAAATAATATATTAATAAATTCAAAGGAAAAAAGTACCAAATAAAGAAAATAAATGTAAAAAAAAATCCCTGAGGAATATATAGTGACCTATATAGTTAGTTGTATATGTATGTACTGTACTTTAAGTAGCTTGTCTAAGAACAGTCAAGAAAATATGAACTATCTTCAACAAAGGTGCTAAAGATGTGCTAAGAAAAGTCTCCTCAGTGAGTGGTTCTGGGAAAATCACATTGCCTCCAAAAAAAAAATTAATGCTTAAAAATGAGGCTAGAGCCGGGCGGTGGTGGCACATGCCTTTAATCCCAGCATTTAGGAGGCAGAGGCAGGCAGATCTCTGTGAGTCTGAGGCCAGCATGGACTACAGAGTGAGTTTCAGGAAAGAAGCAAAGTTAACACAGAGAAACCCTGTCTCAAAAAACCAAAAAA